TTTCACTCCAAAGATATGTACTTGGAAGTCATTTTTAAGTTGGTTGTGGCTCCTTCAATGGCAGAAGAAGGAGACAGCCCTGTCATTACATCTCAAATGTTACCAGCTTGTCTTTAACTTTGGAAGGTAATCCTGCTTGTCATATTCAGAATAGCACATGTTCTTTTGGGAATTATCTGAGTGGTGAATTCAAGCAGGCAGTTTTGGGGAAAGCACTGAGATGTGAATTTTTTACAATGTGGTTTGGACCGCAAGTTGTGATCAATGATGTCCAAGAGAACCCTCTGTAATTTGTACTGTTCAATATATTTGTGCTATTCAGTATGGTTGTCACAAGCCATATGTGGCTATTGAGCATGTAAATATGACTAATGTGACCCAGGAACTATTTAATTAATTTAAAATTAGTGAGTGCTTGTGGCTGGCTAGTGGCTATTGTAATGGACAGCATAAAAGATGGTATTTGTTGAGTGCATGTGGAATGACCCGGTATACCAAACTTGCTCTTCCACTTTCTGCAGATCTCATTGCCCACCAGAAAGGACAGATAGAAAAGCAGCCACCGTTTGAGATCTACTTATGCTTTGGGGAAGAATGGCCAGATGGGAAACCCTTGGAAAGGAAACTCATCTTGGTTCAGGTGAGAAGATAAGGCTGTGTCAACAACTCTTCTCCTTTTTGCCAATGCTTTAGGCCCCAGGTCTGGGTTGAGCCTTCATCAAGCATCCATCAGCCCATGTAGGTTTCAGTCTCATCAGATGGGGTAACAGACTCAGGTTTGTGCAGTAGGACCATGCTGGAAAAGGCAGGGTCCTTAAAATGGGTGACTGATTTAGAGGAGATCTTGTCTTTCATTCTCTTACTAACCTTAGAGTCTTGCTGAAACCTCACAGATATGACCCTTTCCAGCTTTTCTTCACACACACACACACACACACACACACACACACACAATGTAAATTGCACTTTTTTTTTTTTGGAGACACGGTCTTGCTGTGTCACCCAGGCTGGAGTGCAGTGGCATCATCTCAGCCCACTGTGGCCTCAACCTCCCAGGTTCAAGTGATCCTCCCACCTCAGCCTCCCAAGTAGCTGTGACTACAGGCACAGGCCACCATGCCTGGCATAATTTTATTTTTAGCAGAGATGAGGTCTCACTATGTTGCCCCTGCTGGTCTTGAAATCGTAGGCTTAAGTGATCCTCCTGCCTCAGCCTCCCCAAATTCTGGGATTATGGGTATAAGCCACCACACCTGGCCCTTTCCAGCTTTTCTTAGAAAAACCTTTTGAGTTACTTTTAGGAATATAAATTTATTCTAGGAAGTGGCAGCAAGGCCAGCTGGGCTTTGCCCCTGGAGTTGTGTAGCAAGGCAAGCAATAGATGATATTTTGTTAAAAGTCTTGCAAAGTAAGCAGTCATTTATTTAGGCATGTAGCCTAATGTTACATCTAGGTTCTTTACCTTCATTTGAACCAACTTCCAGAGTGAGCTTTGGCAGGAGGATGGTCCAGAGAGATGAAGGCATATCCTTTATTTAGACATTAGAATGGGGGGCTTCCTCAGGGCCTCTTTGGTCTGCCCTTCAATCTTGGGTCCATTGTGCTATTTAAAAATACCTTTTCCTGAGAGGATACACCTATGTTCTGTGTCTTGAACAGGTCATTCCAGTAGTAGCTCGGATGATCTACGAGATGTTTTCTGGTGATTTCACACGATCCTTTGATAGTGGCAGTGTCCGCCTGCAGATCTCAACCCCAGACATCAAAGATAACATCGTTGCTCAGCTGAAGCAGCTGTACCGCATCCTTCAAACCCAGGAGAGCTGGCAGCCCATGCAGCCCACCCCCAGCATGCAACTCCCCCCTGCCCTGCCTCCTCAATAATCGTGAATGCCATCTTCTTCCTTTCCTTTTTTATAATATTGTATATATGGATTTTTTTATTGTTTAGATTTAACCAGCTTTTAAATCTCTCTTTTCTCTAACAGTGTTAGAAGTCTGTGATTCTCCAAGTATGCCTAGATTTAAAGCTGATTTAATTTATGGAAAAATCACCCTTCAGACTTTGCTTTTCTTTTTCAAATCTCCTAATGGTAGTATGATGTAGCACAGTAGAAGGAGATTTGGCCTGGGAGTTTGGACACCAAGGTTCTAGCTGCAGCTTTGCTGCCAATGTGACCTTGAACAAGTCCTTTAACCTCTGGGCTTCAGATTTATTGCTTATAAAGTGAAGAGATTGGAATGATGCCTGAAATTGTATACAGCTTTAAAACGGACTCGATGACCTTCTACTTGTACAAGGCTAAACTGCCTGGAACAGAATCCTTCTGCGTTGTTCTTGTACCACATTTTTCCTTGGTTTTGTTAAAGTTTCCTCAAGCACTGATTTGTCCAGGATCAAGCTCTGTTTGACCTGTTCTGCTAGTATAGTAAGCTGGCTCCCTGATGGGGGAAGTGAGAGGGAGAGGAGCTGGCTGGCTGGTTGCTTAGAAACCATGCTTGATATCTAAATAGAAATGGGTGCCAAAGTCTGAAAGTCACCCAGCCTGTGGAGTGAAAGCTCACAAATTTGGCTTCTAAAGGGAAGCTGTTGACACAGAAAGCCTAGGGATTCTGTGGAAGAATAGGTTGTCAGGCATTTACCATATTACCACTCAAATACCAGTGTGTGTGTTTAGGGGTTGGGGGAGGGGGGTAGATGATAGTATGTGACTCAGGTGGTAGCTTTAAGAGGAAAGAGCTCTATTTTTCTTATTTTCTTCTCTGAGCTAGACTGAGCTGGGGATCTAAGATATACTTCTCTGACTACAAAAGGGACAGTATAATTTAGATTGTTTGCAGTTGAAAGATATTGGTTGTTGGGTGTGTTAAGGCAGGGATGAAGAAGGGCTGGGCAGTACTCTTCTGGAAAGGCTCACATAGCACGAACCTGCTTGTCTCCCTTACTAGTGGAGGTATCTGAGTGTGAACAGTGAAGGTAAAGAATGGTATAGAACAATGCAGGTCTATCTGTCACAAACTGATCTTATCTGGAAACATCTGCTGAGTCTCTAACCATTTTGGCTTTCTCTTCTTTTTTGAGACAGAGTCTTGCTTTGTTGCCAGGCTACAGTGCAGTGGCAAATCACCACTTACTGCAGCTTTAAGCTCCTGGGCTCAAGCAATCATCCTGCCCCAGCCTCCTGAGTAGTTGGGACAACAGTCGTGCACTATGATGCTTGGCTAATTTTTTTTTTGTAGAGATGAGGTCTTGCTATGTTGCCCATGCCGGTCTTGAACTCCTGGGCTCAAGCAATCTGGGACCTAAATGGCAAATAAGATGGTAATCTGTGGTTGCAAGCCCCAGTCCTCTTGAATAGTGACGCCTTTCTGTCTGTGTCGGGACGTAGTAAGGAAGCCCATGTCTAGTCTGGTACCTTTAAACCAGGCCATCTCCTACTTTTCAAAATGACTCAAAAGTTGTGCTAGCCTTATTTTAAAAACTAAAAGTTCATAATCAGTGGTGACATGAGGACTTATTTATTTAAAGTTCTTAAGCTTTGGTTTTAGAGTTTCTAAGAGACCTGGTGGAATTTACTATTATGAAAAGCATTACCCATGCTATTACGAAAAGCATGACAAGATTAAGAAATCTGGCTAAAGGTCAGGTGCCCAGCTTTGAGGAAACAGTTGGGCTTTTAGGGACCAGGAAGTGTTAATGGCACAGAAACTTTACATATTTTGGGTCATTTTGTTGAGCAGGTGAAGTGAGGGATTTGGTCTTGATATTTGGCTGCCCCATCTCTATGTGGGAGCTCAAAGTTAAAAATAACCCACTGTAGGTAAATTAGAAGGGTAGCTTTTGAATCTGGGCCAGTCTGTATCCCTTCTGTGAAATGCTAACAGCCAGGCTATCTGTAGCCTGGGTGGGAGCCCAGATAATGTGAGCTGGTAAAGGGTATTGGAAAAGTGCCAAGAAATACCAAGCTTTTGGTTTGTAACCACTGTGAAAAGTTTATGAACATGTCAGAGAAATGGATGAGTGATTTGTGAGGTCCTCACTAGATACCCCAGTTTCTTCCTTGTTTTGGCTCCTTTTCAGAATGCTGGGAGAGTGCTGGATAGATTTAGGTTTCCTTTCTTTTTTTAGGGCCTCAGTCTGCTATCTCCTTTGGTGGCCACCACCACTTACTCCCTTGATATCTTCTACTCCCTTGCCTTCATCATGCTTAAGACTGAGAAGGGAGTTAGATTTTGTCACTAGCTCTTCTTTTTCCTCACTGTCTACCCCACCAAACAAGATTAGTTCAAGTTAAAAAGAACCTACTGGAGGTAAACTGGGAGGGCAAGTGTTGGATCTGGGCTGGTCCCTTTCCCATATAATTAGGTCCCTGGTTATATGTTCCCATAGCACCCCATAGTTCCTCTTTCAGAATAATCATTTCCCTTGTAATGCTCAGCATCTGTATCCTGCTTGACTGCAAACTTGCTGAAGGTAGGGATTGTTTGTCTTGGACTTCGCTGCCAGTCCTTAGAACAGTGTCTGGGACACAGTGTGTTCTCAAATATTTGTTGCTGGAATAAATGAATGAACTAAATCAGTCTTTTAGGGATTTATTGTTAACCACCATGGGAAAATTAAATAAATGCGGGAAAGGAAAACATTCTAAAATTAGAAGACTACTTTCTACACTCAGCTTCTGACTCCCTCTGAGCTAAGAACCAGACAGTGTTAGCCTGGTAACTCCTATAAGCTGGTCCTCCTCCCATGCTGACCCCATCTTTACAGTTCACTTTTCACGGTCTGAAGGCACCACCAAGATAGACCCAGGAGTGACAACTACAGTGTAGGTGTCCACTGTTCCCTTAATCTCTGTCCTGCTCCAAGTATAAATAAATTGGGGCCATTTCCTTAGATATTGGGGTTTTCTCAAGAAATCCTTTCCCTTTGTGGCATGGGTCAAATTGCTGGTAGTTAAAAAGGTGTTAACTCTTACGTGAAATAACACTTTTTCTTTGTAATGACCTAACTGGAAAGCCTCTGTGTCGTCACTTCTCATTTCTTATTTGAAATCAGCAAACTGGATTCAGTAGACATGAACTTAAGCCTCATGAAAGTGGGGGTTTGGTCTGTTTTGCTCACTGCAATACCTCCAGGGCCTAGCAGCATGACTGGCACATATTTGTTCAAAGTGAATACTCACACCTTCACACCCTCCCTAGAGAGCTGTTCTTGTAGGCCTCTCAAATGTAGGATTTAGGGAAGTCAAGTTAAAAAAAATTAAAACGGTTCAGCATCACCCACAGGTGAGGCTATTCTGCAAAATATGTTAATTGCCTTGAGGTATGTTTCCTCTGGACAAAACGTATTTCCACAGACACAAATCAAAGGTGTTTATTAAGTGCTGTGTGCCCTGTTTCTGGATTCCCAGTCAAGTGGGACACCAGACGTCATAACACAAGAAGGAAGTTCTGCGAAGCAAAATGAGGGCAGCAGCGGCAAACCAGTTTCACCAGGTTCCGCCTTTTCTCGTTCACTTCCGCCCTTCCCAGTTCCTGAGCACACAGGTGGGGCCGCATTCTGCCTGACAGGAAAGGGCGGGTCGCAGGGTTCCCCAAACTTCCGGCGCGCAGCAAGGCGGCCTCGCTAGTGGTTCTAACGCGAGGCGCGCGAGCGGCTGGATGATGTCACGGAATGGGGGGAAAAGAGGGCGGCACTCGAGTGGGTGCGCATGCGCAAGAAGGTGCCTGCCCGACTGGAGCAGAGCAGGCTGAGAGGGTCTTCCCAGCGCAGGCGGGATTTCCAGTGTTACTTGCGGCTGGGCGTTGGGGACTTGCTGCCTTTCTGGCAGCAGGCAGGAAGCCGCAAAAAGTTTCTGAGCCCGCGAACCTGTAGCGGACGTGGAAAAAGAACGTATGTGAGAGAGACTTATGCCTCATTTAGCAAATCACTGTAATATGCTCTGGTGTGGGGCGTGTGGATCGGAGAAATCCCATCTTCCGAGGGTCCTTGGTCGGACAGAAAGGGAAGGCGGGGCCAGCAGAAGTTAAAATACTACCGTATGCAGTTCTAGCGGATTTCATTCATTCATTTTTATGTGTTAGGGTGAGATGGTTGTTAGTCCACATTCTGGTGTATATTAATCAAATTGCTATTCTTATAACTATTCTCTGGCGGGAAGAGTAGGGGAGTTGTCAGTGGAAAGGATACATTTGGAACTTGGAGCTCTGTCCCAGAAGGGCTTTTGGGCGAAATGCTGTGAATTTTGCCAAACACCGCCCCGCCTCCGCCTCTGACCCAAGCTCCTTAAGGTTTGAACCAGAGAACGTAATTTGCAACAGGTAAAATTTAGAATAAAAGCCAGAGGGAATATAAATCTAGCTATAAGGCTAGAAAAACACACGAATTTAAGATTGAGGGAGACCAAGTCAACCAGAAAAATCAGGTAGCATTGATCCTATCTTGTCTGGGCTGGGTCACCATTTCAAAGCAGAGGGAGGGACAGAGTAACCTTTGGAAGATACTTCGACTTAACGGGAAGGCTGTTGTCAGGTTTCGTGGTGTGTCACTGGCTGTTAATAATTCCCTGCTATTGCTTTGTTTCTAGGCCCCTCCTCAAGTGTCTGGCTTAAAGATGCCACCCAGGGAAGGGAACTCTGGCTAGCTAAGGAGGCCATTCTTGATGTTGCTTCTAGATCTCATGTCGTCACCGAGACCTCAGCTGCTGGTGGCAGCTGCTCAGCAGACCCTTGGCATGGGAAAGAGACAGAGTCCACCCCAAGCCATCTGCCTTCACTTAGCTGGAGAGGTGCTGGCTGTGGCCCGGGGACTGAAGCCAGCTGTGCTCTATGATTGCAACTGTGCAGGGGCATCAGAGCTCCAGAGCTATCTGGAGGAGCTGCAGGGGCTTGGCTTCCTGACCTTTGGACTTCACATCCTTGAGATTGGAGAAAACAGCCTGATTGTCAGTCCTGAGCATGTATGTCAGCACTTGGAGCAGGTGCTGCTTGGTACCATAGCCTTTGTGGATGTTTCCAGTTGCCAGCCTCACCCTTCTGTCTGCTCCTTGGACCAACTTCAGGACTTGAAGGCCCTCGTGGCTGAGATCATCACACATTTGCAGGGGCTGCAGAGGGACTTATCTCCCTCTGCAGTCTCCCACAGCAGGCTGCATTCCTCAGACTGGAATCTCTGTACTGTATTTGGGATCCTCCTGGGCTATCCTGTCCCCTATACCTTTCACCTGAACCAGGGAGATGACAACTGCTTAGCTCTGACTCCACTACGAGTGTTCACTGCCCGGATCTCATGGTTGCTAGGTCGACCCCCAATCCTGCTCTATTCCTTTAGTGTCCCAGAGAGCTTGTTCCCAGGCCTGAGACACATTCTAAACACCTGGGAGAAGGACCTCAGAACCCGTTTTAGGACTCAGAATGACTTTGCTGATCTCAGCATCTCCTCTGAGATAGTCACACTGCCGGCTGTGGCCCTCTGACTTTTACTCTCCTCTCACATAGAAGGTACTCAGTAAATGATCATCTCTAGGTTGGGGATGGCAAATAATCATCTCAACTGCCAATTCCAAGTGTCTTGAGTACACTAAGGCACAATGCTCTAACCAATTGGCTGCAAATGCAAAGGGCATGTAAATAGGTAGTGGTGGTGCTAGTAGCAAATTGGTAGATAGTACCTACTTGCCATTTCTATGCTAGGAAGTCCTCTTAGTGGATATGCTTTCATTTTCACTGGATAAGAGGTAGAAGGAAAGAGGTGATAGAGGAAAAGCAGGGTGGTGGAAGACAAGCCAAACACTCTTGCATGGTAACCGTCTAAATATACCTGCTCTATGTGGGTGCTGTCTGCTAGGAAAGTAGGGCTGGGGGTTTCTCTGCGTGTTTATATGCGTGCAACTGAATTTGAGGAGAGTAGACCACCAGTATGCTTAAATATGTGATACTTGTTAATGTAATACACCTTTCAGGAATAAACTGAGAGTTCTGAGGAACAGTCTGGTCAGGTGAAGTTTATTTACACTAGGTTAAGAAAATAACAAAAAGTCAGAAATCCTAAGTCAGTTGGAAAGCCCAAGCTGTAATGTACCCAAACCTTTTGAGTTTTTTGTTGAGTTGCTTGCTTCTGATTTTCACCTGAGACAGTTGTCACAAATTATTCAGATCATCAGGTTGTCTTTATTGGCCAGGAACACTGCCAGTGCTGCAGCAATCACCACCATCAGCATTGGGAGCCATCGCCCACATTGCCTCTGCAGAGGGACAGGGAGACAGAAGAAAGTGGCTATGAGTTGACTGGAAAAGATATAGGCAAAAGTCTTTCTTCTTCCTACTCTAGCCCAGTAGAAAACCCTGGGTTAGTGGTAGAGAAAAAGCTTTTTACTCTGTCTCCCACTCTGTCACCTGTCTTGGGGTAAAACCACTCTGGCCCAGGGAGCCATATCCATCAGGGACCAGATATATAAATACTGATATGAATAATGAAGGGTGGAAAATAACTCAGCAAAATTGTATTCTTTGTTTGTATTCCCCAGTACTTTTGTTGTCCTTCTATTCTGGCCACCATGCTTATCATAGGCTAAAAGAACACCCTTTCATACTTTAGCTAAGAGTGAGTCTTTCCTTCTGGCATTGAGAGTTCCATGAAAGTTGGGCTTTGATGCACGAGTCCAGTGTTTTTTCCAATGGTTGCCATAATGTCAGTATGTTATAAACCAAGCACAGTGGGACAGGATGGCCAGTTGTTGGCGTGGGCTGATATATTTTATCTGCAAATCTTGGTTAAGGAAGGAATCATCCCATCATCCAGGGCTTTATGGGAAGGAGAGACCCTCTTACTCTGGGAGGCAGCTGCTGGCTCTGGTTCAGCTCTTCTCGACAGTGCTGCAGCTTACGCAGGCAGGAGAGATACTCGTCACTGAGGTTGTCTAATTCTGAATGCAGTTCTGTGCACTGGGGAGAACATCACCAAAGTCGTCACTGTCACTTCTGTCTAGGACAGAGCCCAGGTAGGGGAGACTGCCCTGTGTAAGTTTCACTCATTTGGAATTTTTACCACCATCCTCCCTTCCCAGCCATTCTCAGGGATTTGAGTTTGTCTTTTGACTGTCTCACATTGTCTGGAATGTGTTCATTTTAAATGATTGACAATACTGCATATTATAATATTACATTTTATACATTTAAGTTCTTTTATATGACTTTACGTGCAAGTGCTTTGCAAATGAGAGACACTGAAAAATGAAGTTCTTATAGCACAAAGAACCTAGAAGTGACCTTAGTACAAGTTTCTTTCCCAGGAGCTAGTTGCGTATGAATACTTCTGGGGATGTGTATGTTTGTGAGTTGTACAAAGGAAGAGTTTTACTCTTTAAAAGACATATAAAGACTTAAGATACTCAATGTGGGACGACATATTGAGAAGTTAATATTTTTATTAAATGTGTTTGAGTTTTGGTCGACTTTCTAGAAGGTAACCAGTTAATAAAACCTTGAATAGGAGTTGGTGTAAATAAGGAAGGGAAAAGATTGACAAGTCAGCCCAGAAGCACAGACACTTTATGTAGGCAAATGAATATCTGTGGGTATCCAGTCACAGCCTAAACTTTGAAATCCCTGCTCTTTGGCTGCTTCCCAGGTTTCTCTGCTATTCTGCAGATGAGCCATCACTGTCTCAGGTCACCCTCTCACCTCCTTTTCCTTGGCCTGGAGCTGCAAAGTCTTCTTTTGCAGCTGGTCTCTGAGATCCCAGTCTTTCTCCTTCCCTGTACCCTCAGGCTCCACTTCGTTAGGGAAGGACTTTGGACTCCACACGGGCAAAGCCTGATCTAAAAAAGCAGCCAGATTCTTGGTGATAGTGAGGCCCACACCTTTGAGGAAGGGCCCTGAGGGTGAGCCACTAGGAGTGGGGAGAGGGGAGGGAACTTGGGAGGACGTGCTCTTGGCTAGACTGATGGCATTCTTTGACATAAAGGTTAACTTCCACTAGGCCCCTGCTAAGCTTGGACAGACAGCTGGAATCTGAGCCCCTTGAGGACAAGATTGGCATCTTTTCTTTGTATCCCCAGTCTTATCTAGTGCTAGATAATTTTAGTGAATACTTATTAATTGAATTTCATTGGTTTTATGTCACATTCTTCCTAGTTTGTCAGATAAGTTTGGTGGATGCTTTAATATAACCCCTTTTCCCTGATGTCCTCATTTGAAAGTTGTGAAGATGGCAGTCATATCCTAAAATTTATCTTCATATGGTTAAAGATGGTTTTTTAGCCACCCTGCAGTCTTAGTCTTGGTGAAAAGAGCATGGACTAGGAGTTAGAAGTTTTGGATTGTTGTAGCTGTGTTGTTAGTCTGTGCCACCATAGACCTTCATGGTCTTATCCATACTATGTGGGCATAAACATTTCTGCATTATCTATTATATTATGCCCAGTGATTGTGAGGAGAAAACAAAAGGTCATGTGTAGTGGACAGGTGAGGAGCTATTGCCCCTCTGTATACACGGTGAATTCTCAGTAAACATGGACAGTAGACTCTCTAGAGCTAAGAGTGAGTTGACTCTGGCATGCTATGTGGTTTGGGGCTGGGAAGTTGGATGTGATTTGGAAAATCAAGTGTGTAAAAATTGACATGAAATCCTGAGTTCAAAATAAATTTATTGAAATGTTCAACACAAACATGTGCTTTCAGAGAGAATAGAAACCCTTTTTCACAGTTTATATACCTCAGGATAGAAGGCTAACTAGTTGAAGTGTCCTCAGAGCCAATGATCAGTCCTTAAAAAGCTCCCACACATCCCGGACTTAATAGACTCTCAGAACTGGGTGGGACTCCAGGAGGTCATGTAGTCCATCCCGCTGCCTCTAGGCAGGTAAGGGAAGAGAAGTATCTTAGAATTTGTGGTTAATAAATTTGCTGACCTTTCTTTGTTAAGAGTTTCTCCTGTTCTTGAAGCTGTAAGGATTGATTCTGAAGCAGACCTGTTGGAAAACACAAGGAACTTGTCTATGCTAGCATATTTACTACAAAGAGTTTCTTTTCAGAACTTTGCCTAGAACCTTAGTTATTAAATATGTTCCCATCTGCTATGTGTTGAATTTTGTCCCCCAGAATCTATATGTTGAAGTCCTAACCCTCAGTACCTTAAATTATGACCTTATTTGGAGATAGGTTCTTTAAAAGATAATCAAATTAAAATGGGGTCATTCAGGTGGGCCCTAATCTAATATCACTGGTGTCGTTATAAGAAGGAGAAATATGGACACAGATATGTTCATGGGAAAGACACAGAGAGAAGACGGCCATCTGCAAAGCCAAGGAAAGAGCCCTGGAATAGATCTTTCCGTAAACGCCCTCAGAAGGAAACACCCCTGCTGACATCTTGGATTTCTAGTCTCCAGAACTGTGAGACAATACATTTCTGTTCTTCAAGGCACCCAGTCTGTGGTACTTTGCTGTGAATATAGCATCCTTATTTCTCCCCCTACCATGTCTCTATCTTCAAGTCTTTGCTTGAAGACTTTCCCTTTCCCCTCCGGTTGCTTTGCTCTCTTAATAATCATTGCTGTTTGCATGAAGCTTCTCTATCAGGTGTCAGAGGTTAAAGTGGTGGGCAACCAGCAGCGGTATTAATTGAGTCAGGTTCTCCAGCTTTTCAGAAACTGCTTTTCTTCTGAAAAGGCCCTTTTCCTCTTTGGGCCCAATATGTAGTTTTGAAGTGGACTGAGGCACATATAGTGTGTAAGCTTATTTTCTAAACCATCTTTAGTGACAGGTCTATGTGACACATTCATGTACTTATAAATTACAATATATAAAATAAGAGCTGCTTTAGGAAACCCAGTACTTAAAACAAAATCTGCAATTCTGGGGCAAATGTAAGTGGTATCATTGGCATGGAAGGAGAAAAGTAGAAAAAAAAGAACAGAGGCTAATACATAATTTATGGAGAGCTATGTAAATGACCTCACTTCACAAGAAGAGGGTCTGAAAATGCACAGAGTTAGAGCATATGCCAAAGACTGGGCCCTTAGTCCCTACTCTGGGTGCCTTTTATGGGCCAGGACCCCCAGGAAAACCCTGTGGACTTTCAGAATCTGGAAAGCAAACTTACTCTGCAACTGCTGTACTCTGGTCACCAGGGTGAGCTTCTCCGACTCTGACCTTTTTAGTTGATCTGAAAATGCAATAATGCAAGCCAAAATAAAGGAACCCAAGACTTAATGAACTCAGTACTTAAGGATGGAAATTAGTAATAGATGCTATCTTGTCGTGGCCTCTAACATGTGTCTATTGGAAGTTGTGTCCCAGTTCTGAAGAGGTAAACCAGAAGCCAAGTACCTCAGGTTTTGTGCATCAACAATGTTGGGTTGCATTGAGGCTTGTATTTACACACTATCTAGTCCTTGGACGCAGAGGCTGTGACTGAGAGACTTTCTCTATACCTTGTGTTTCAACTGGCCTTTCCCTTTCAAATTAGGAATGTGGCCTTGACATATGTGACTGATGTGGGAGCAGCTGTGATCTGGCCCAGAGGGATGGGCTAAAAAAGAGAGCTAGACAAAAGGATACTCTATCTGATACAGTGAAATTAATTTTCAATTTTGATGATTAAAACAGCCCTGCCTCTCCCTCAAGGTAAAATGAGATTACAAAGCCAATCAACCAATCAAGCAAACAAATAAAAGGCTGAAGCCTTTCTCTTAACTCAGTTTCTTTTTTCTTAGCTCACTTGGCCATGGCTCCCATGCGCCCAAAGCCTCCAAGGAGAAGAGTACCTTGTAGGTCCTGGGTATCCAAGCTGCACAGGTCTCTGTCCCCTTGCAGGCATTCAATCTTGGCCTGCAGTTCCTGGTGCTCATTCTCCAAAAATCGCAGGGCCTGGTTCATCTGTAAGTCCCTGCTATCTGCTCCCTGTAAGGAGGAGGAGGGGCCATATAGAAGGAGGTCAGTGTTGGGGTGGAGGTTGGGGGCAGATACCATGGAAGAGGAAAATAT